GGGGGTGGGGGGTGGGGTAAAATTCCCAATCCCAAGCCAACTGGCTTTGAAGACTCCAAATGGCACTTCTGCTTACAAGAGACTAGTCTGTTCCAAGATAACAGGTGGGAGATGTCCCATTCCCAAATTCGGGGCGGAAGCCACCAATGGGAGTAGGGAACAGAGGGAAGCAGTTGTTACCCCTGGAATAGCTGTCGTAGACATAGGATGTATAGATAGCGCTATAGATAGAAAGAAGGCATTTCCCCCAGAGACCAGAGGCATTCATCACACTTACACTGAACAAGTTATACGTGCGGCTCCTGGGATGCTGCAAGACCCGCGACCCTGGCGTTAGAGTAGGGGAGGAACAGGAAGGAAAGCTAAAAAGGGACAGGCAGGCTGCAGAGGCGCAGCAAAAAGCCCCAAACGAGGAGGGCCGGGCGCCGTGAAGGGCAAAGGGAGGGGCGGCGGAAGCGGGACCGAGCCCAGGCCTCTGTGGGAGTGGCAGAAGGCTTCTCCGTGACTCCGCCTCGAGCTGGTCCCCGCGGAGACCCTCGACCCCACCGGGCCTCGAGCGTACGGGCCCCAAGTGGCAGCGGATGGCTTTTCTCGCCCACTTCCGGAGGCTCCGCGCCCGCTCGCCGTGTCCGCTGGTCTCGCGAGAGCGTAGGCGCTGCGGACCTGGGTCTGGGTGGCCGCTGCGGACCTGGGTCTGGGTGGCCGCTGCGGGGCCTGGTCTGGGCGGCAGTTGAGGCCCAGACAGCGGGCCGCTTTCTTTCACCTCTGGGGAGGAGCGACGGCCGCCGCCTGTGCCTCTCCTTTAACAGCCTGCGAGTGGTTGAACATTAAAATGCCCAGTGGAAGGCTGAATGGTGAAAGGCTGAATGGTGGGAGGCAAGCGACCTGGCCTCCTGTGGCATTTCTACTACTATGTGTCTTGTGCCTTTATTTAGATTTTTTTTTTAATTTAAAATTTTTAAATTTGTATATGGCCTAAGTTTACTTGGCCTACTTTCTCTAAGCTTTGATTTTCCCGTGTCTGAAATAAGGGACCTGGCTACAATCTCTGACATTCCATCCTTCCCGTGCCCTTCATTTCTAGTCCTAACGCACATCTTCCTGAATGCAGCCGCGGAAGGACTAGGTAGGTGAAGTGTGGTCAGATAACCAACAATCCAGAGTGCAAATACTACTTGTGTTTACAATGTCTGGTTGTACCTCATGAAGATCGTCTGAGGTTAAGGGTCTATACTGCCTGCCTATAGCTGCACATATTTTAGGCCAGAAGTTCAGGACATGGGCCAGATGCCTAAGGAAATTTTATGCCTGAAAGAGAAAACCCATCTTCTAGAGCTTTTTGAGGGCACTTAAGAATCCTGAGTAAAAGGATAAAAGGTTTGGAATGTGGAGAAGACTCTCTTGCTTTGTATATTGTGGAATTACTGTAAATCCAAGAGCAGTGATACGTTAAGAAATAAAGATAGTTTTTGATTTCAGTAGATTTCTGAGAATGGCTAGTTGCAAATGGTCCAAAACCGAGTTTGGGAACCCATAGCTCATTCATTCATTTAACTAATATTTATCGTGCACCTACATTTTGCCAAGCACATAGGTGCTGGGAACACAGCAGTGAAACAAAGTGTCTGCTCTCATGTAACACCTACATTTTATTGGTGATAGACAAATAAATTATATGGGATAATAAAAGGCTGTGAGGAATAAAGCAGGGAAAGAAGTGTGGAAGAGGGAAGTTTGCAATTCTAAATACAACAGCCAGTAAAGGACTTGCTGGTAAGTTGACATTTGATCCCAAGCAAAGAAGAAAGAGGATATCCAGGGTAGAGGGTTACATACAGAGCTGCAGGAAATGCAAAGGCCATAAGGTTGGCACATACTTGGTGAATTCAAGGAGGCAGCTATAGATGAGTGAAGAAGAGAGTGGTAAGAAATTAGGACAGATCTTGTAAGCCTTTGCAGGCCATTACAAGATATTGGGCTTTTACTCTGGGAAAAAGATATTGGAGGATTTTGAAGAGAGGAGTGGCATAATCTGATTGCCCTTTTAAAAGGATCACTCTGCAGGTTTGTAGAGAATAGCTAAATAAATTGTGGGGTGTGGTGGAAAAGGAAACAAAGATACCAGTTTGGAAGCTCTTTCAATACCCAAGCAAGAGATAGTGACATGAACAGGTGTGTGCATGTGTGTGAGAGAAAGAAAAGTAGGTATAGCAACGAAGGTGGTGAGAAGTTGAATTATGGATCTATTTTGAAGGTAGATCCTCCACAATTTTCTGATGGAGAGATAGGAGTCAAGGATTATTCCAAGGTTTTTAGTCTGAGCAACCTGAACTTTACTGTCCAATAGAAATATAATGTGCCACAGAGGTGATTAAAAAATTTCAAGTAGCCACATCAAAAAGGGAAAAAAACAGGTGAGATTAATTTAATAATACATTATACTTAGTATATCTGAAACATTATTTTAAAATGCAATCAATATAAAAAAGTTATTAATGAGATATTTTAGATTCCTTTTTCGTACTAAGTCATTGAAATGTGCATGTATTTTACACTTTCAGCATGTCTCAGCTCCCATAGCTACATTTCAGGTGCATAATAGCTTCATGTGGCTAGTGGCTACTATATGAATAGTGCAGAAGCAGCTGCCATTTAACAAGAAAGGAAGAAAAGGGAGGGAGCAGGATTTGAGGGAGAAATTTAGGAGATTGTCAACAACCAAGTGAAGATGTCTGTCCATTTGCTTGAAATGACTGTCAAACATCCAAGAGGAGATACTCAGTTATTATTTATAGCCCCGGTCTCTAAAGTAGTGTTTTTCAAATTGTGAGTCATAACCCAATGAGGGTTGCAAAATCAATTTATTAGTTGCAACCAACAAGTTTCAAAATAAAGTAGGAAAGGTCTGAATGCATTCTATTTCTATTATGTTTTGCTATACTGGGTCATGTCTTTCTACTAGGGATCATAGTTAAAAGCAAGTTTGAGAGCTACTACTTTAGAATGTATGCTGTGTAACATTTATGATTTGTAATTCAAGATTATGAAGTGATGCCTTGGTTTGAATCCCAGCCCTGCTAACTAGTTGTGAAGCTTGGAAGATGCTTGACCTCATTGTGCTTTGGTTTTTCCAACCGTAAAATAGGGATAAATATAGTGCCTATTATTAATTATATGAAGACTTTGAATTGTGCTTGATATATACTAAGTGCAAATATTAGAGCAGAGTGGGCAGTGTAGGTGCAAATATTAGAGCAGAGTGGGCCCTGAGCATGTTTTGAAACACAGTTCACATTTATGCTGTCTTCAGGCTCTCCTTTTTATGCTGTCGTCAGGCTCTCCTTTCCATACTCTTTCCCATTTTCAGTCTCTTTAAATTGTCCTCCTGTTGATCACTGTTCTCCAGGGCTCCAAAATTAGCCTTTCCTGCCATCCTTCCTCCAGCAAAACTCTCACTGCAGTGTTCAATATTTCAGCTAGAAATGCAGAATAAAACAGACTGATGAAACAAATACCTTTAGTAGTGAATTATTCTTACACAAATGCTTAACTTTAAAAAAAAAGATTTGTTAATTCAAATGACCTTTATTTTGGAGATTTCATATGAAAAAAAGTGGAGAACGTTAAGTAATGGAAACATTACGATTTAATGTGATGTGCCTCTATGATTAACTTTACAAGCACATAGTATCCTTTAAAAAAAAAAAAGAAAGTCACACTCGTGCTATTTGCGAAGTTCTTGGAATGTCAGTGAATTTGCAGTCTAGGGCAGCATTCATTTTAGTGAAGATTCGTCATTGTGAGTCATAACCCAATGAGGGTTGTAAAATCAATGAGGGCTTGTGTACATAGAGAACTGTATGTACACAATAATCTCAATGCTCGAGTTTTCAGGAGAAAAAATCTCCTTGAGGAACATCTGATGGATAATTTCAGCTATTCAGCAGTGACTCTAGTTTTCTAAAACATTGATATTAATGCACTTAGTGAAAGAAGGGCTGTGGTTGGAAGGAGGTTTCTTCAGGTTTATGTACGTATGTATATGTTTCCCGAAAGGAAGGAGTTATTTGGGGTATTATTCATAGTTAGGTCCCAATCCTGTGATCTTCTGGGTTTGAGGTGGATAGAGCTGCCTTATTTGGTTTTTATACTAAGTATTTTCTGCGTATTTTATTTTGCAGTGCTTATGTGAAGAAATAGAGGGAAAATAGGAAAGGAAATAAAGTCAGAGAAGTAGGAGGATCTGAATATAATGATAGAGAAATATAAAAAACCAGAGAGAGATTTTTCAAAAAGGAGATAGTACGACATAAAGAAAATTAGTTTGGGGGGAGAAACAAACCTCAGACTAGTTTTAATCTCTCTGAATGACAGTCGATTCATCCATAAAATGGAAAGAACACCTCACTTTAAGGATTGATATGAAGATTGGATGAGATATTGAAAGCATTTAAAGTGTTTTTTATAGCATTTAGCACATACTAGGCTTTTAATAAATGATAGCCTAAAAAAGAAAGGATGATAGCTAGTCGTCTTTGCTGGATCATGGATGGCAGCCAGACAAATCAAGATGAAGAGAAAGGTCCTGGGACATGGCAGAGATAAAAGACATAATCAAAAGGTCTCTAAGTCCATGAAGAGAGAGTAGAAAGGTGAATTCAGAGAGCAAAGTCAGAGCCCAAGGTTTTAGCCTGTCATAGAAAACAGGGAGGGCAGAACCTAAGAAAAAAATAAGGGTTAGTTGGTATACAATGGATATTTGTTAATGAACTTATTGGAGATGTACATATATAGAGATAAATATAGTTGTAGTTTTATTCAAACAGACAGAAAACTCTTAGTGCTCTTAGAGCTTGAATAGGAAAAGTAATTTAAAAATTCCTAAACACTGATATAACAAATTAGTTAAAAGCAATATATGACATGCCTGGAGACCATGATAGGAGGAAACTTGAGAGGTCTTAGTGGTGATCTTTTATTTCTCCTTAGTATAGGTTTTTAAAAGTTCCTCGGCCCCAAATTTAAAGCTAAATCATTTACCCTTGCAAATAAATTTAACTTCCTGTTAAAATCTTGGCTCCAGCGTTTCATATAGAAGGGTTTAGAGTTGGAAGTAGATTTGGGGCGAAAGGACCAGGGAAGAAGTGTTGCAGGAAGCGACACCCAACAGAAGAAATTGGATGCTCAGACGATTTTGTTACAGAAAGGGGAATTTATTGCCGTTGGAAAGCGTGGGGCATTCAACAGACCCAAATCATGATCTCCCCTTAGTTAGATTTATTACAGCCTATATACCTCTGCAGTGTCCATGCAAGGGGCATGTAATTCCTTTGTCTGTTTCACATGTGCCTTATGACTCAGGGTGGGAGGGGGGGTTTTTAGTGGGGGGCTGGAAGGGGGGAGGAATTTCCAGACCACTGGTCTTACAGGTCATTTGTCTTGCGACCTTGGCATTATCAGCACTGTTATAAGATTCTCGAACAGAGAGATGGGACATTGAGGCTATAAGTAGGATGCAACACTTATTAATGCCAGCACCTGCTCAGCGGATTCCTATCCAAAGGCTGAGCCCTGATTGTAACATAACAAGCAGTTTTATACAGTCTTGTCATTCCTACACAGC